CCGCTCTGTATCAGGATAGATTGTTATGCACATATCATGATCCAACACAGTAAGAAAAATCCACACCTCAGCCAAACTGGGTTTTTCAACCTATGTCCTATATACGCTAAACGTTGGGATCATATTGATATGAGTGGGTGAGTCACTCACCACTCCAGGGAAAATTAGGAAATATTATCTCTATTAGCATTCTTTCATTAAGGCTCTACCTTTCCCCATCCTAGAAAATCTGAAGCGTTTTTGTTTAGATTGTTCTCTGATAGTTTCCCAGGTGATATAAATAGCAGTACAACCTGGCAAGAACAGATGGAGACACGCACACAGTTAAGAATAAAAGAACACGCTAATCTTTTTGCTTATAGTAACTAGCCTGCATAATCTCTTTACCTAACGCTTCCCCAGTTTTGCAATAAGTGTTCTTAGTTTGACTTACTACTGGTCTTGTGGTGGAAAAATGGGAATTCAAAGGAAAGCTTTATCTGTGTACCCCCTAAAACATTTCATGATGGAAATTCCAAACTGCCCAGTATTTCTGCTATAAATACCTAGACCAATGCATCCCATACCTGTTTCAAAACTTACTGTACCCTGTAAGGCAGTACGACTGGACCAGACTCAGCTGGGATAAAGCCAAGGTTTACTTTATTTGCATCAGCATGCTCAAAGCTGATGTTTTCCTTCGCCTTTTTTTCCTTTTATTATTGTTTCATATTTCTCCACAAAAAAACTGGTTGTCAGGCAGAAGGCTCTGTTCTCTAATGGCTCACAAAATAATGCCAAACCAAACTTTTCCTCCTGTAAGATTTTAGCAGATTTCATTTTTAAGTGTGGAGTCATTGCTTTGTGAATTGCTAATACCAATTTGTCTTTCTTTTTTTTTTTTTTCTCCACTGAACAATAAAGGGAATGGTTACAGCGTTAACAACGAAGACATAAATAAGAAAAACAGCTCGAAAGCAGAACGCTGTGTAGCTGTTAAACGATCAGCTCTTTTCAGATCCTCCAGAAGGATTAAGGACTAAATGAATCTTTTCACATATTGTTACTTGGACACAAGGCACAGAATCAACTTCATTCTTCTCCTTTGAACCAAAACGACAATCATACTGGGAAGCCCCCCACCATCCCCTGAGTCAATTAAAGATCCTGTTACTGGAGTTATTTTAAATGGGTGTGTTTAAAGCGCTAGGGGACAGATTGTAGTATATAATCCTCCACTGACAGAGGGGAATGTACTAAAAGTCCCCCGGGAGATCACCCATCTTCGTGTTTGTGAGACGCATGGTCGCAGAGATGGACAAACCAATTTGAATGAGATAAGAAAAGCCAAGCTTTTTTCTACCCTTCCCCCAAATCCTCAGCCACCTCACAAGCTGAACCTTTCAAATACACTTAGTGCTGAGGCAATTTGACATGGGTGGTAGATTAACGTATCCACACAATACAAACAGGGAGGCCACCTCCCTTATTGATGCCAAGTTTGCAGAATCAGCTGCTACACAGTAGTCCAAAAGTCTGCTTGGGAAGACCAGAATTGTATCTGCAGCTCTGTCTGTCTTTATTTTAGGCCCCGACTGGGACTCCAGAAGAAGAAAGTTCCACAAGTTCATGAAAAGTCCTGAGACTCACTAATTTGGCTCTTGGGATTTTTTTTTTTTTCTTTTTTTTTTGGCTGTTGTTTTTAAGTAGGGGAAAAAATTCTTCAAGCTATGCCTTCCCTGGTAGGTCATATGGTAAAGAATCTGCCTGCGATGCAGGAGACCTGGGCTTGATTCCTGGGTCCAGAAGATCCCCTGGAGAAGGGAATGGTTACCCACTCCAGTATTCGTGCCTGGAGAATTCCATGGACAGAAAAGCCTGGTGGACTACGGTCCATGGGGTTGCAAAGAGTCGGACACGACCGACTAATACACACATGCCTGTTGTTTTTGGTTGTATTCCTGTTTTCTAAAACGTGGTGGTATGCAGGGCCCATTGGTAGGAATCCTACCAATGGAGAACAGGAGCCACCCAGATCCAGAGACTAAGGCAGAAACCTTGCCTACTTTTCTGATTTCTGCATATCCTCTTGATGTGATTATGACCCTCCTCATTCTTGTATCTTCATTCTGCTGGTTATATCATAAAATGTACAGGAAGAAACAGAGAGAAAATTGGCCTCTACAAGCACATGGTCATGGGTTTTAGGGTCTGTTAATATAGCCCTAACCAGCTCCAGTATTTTTGCCTGGAAAATCCCATGGACCAAGAAGCCTGGTGGACTATAGTTCATGGAGTCTCAAAGAGTCAGACATGCCTGAGTGTGAATGCACACACATCCTTATGCAGCAGGAAGGGAAGATTTCTCCTCGTTTCCGCTAAAAAGAAGACCACCAGACTAAGAGCAGATGTGTCTGATGCGTCTGCGTGATCTAACGAGATTTTCTTGTTCTTCTTTTAACCTCTGCAGTAAAAGCAACGAAGTTAGGAAATGATTTGAAAATAGGTTGCTGAGGGATAGTTTCTCTCAGGCTAGTAGATGAATATGTGCATTTGTTTCTAAGGTTGTGATGTATTTCAAGCCCAAATACACCCTAAAGCCCAAGTATTCATTTTGAAACCTATCTCTTCTGCAAGGCTTACCTTCATTACTGACATATCTATTTCTTGCATATCCCAATCCCAATTTCACACCAAAATGAATCAGTGGACCAATAACAGTAGCATCCATTTGAATCACTACTGTAGGATGTGGGAAGTATTGTTTTTTTTCTTTTTCCCCTGAGATTGTATTACTTCTTTGATTAGTTGTGGGCTTCCCTGGGGACTCAGACCTTAAGAATCCGCCTGCAATGCTGGAGACCCGGGTTTGATCTACAGGTCAAGAAGATCTCCTGGAGGAGGAGATGACAACCCACTCCAGTATTCTTGCCTGGATAATTCCATGGTTAGAGGAGCCTGGTGGGGTATATAGTCCATGGGGTTGCAAAGAGGTGAACATGATTGAGTGCCTGACACTTTCACTTTTCACTTTGATTAGTTTTGGCCCTCACATATTTTTGGCAATCTTAGTGTTATATTTTGTGTTAAAAGACATTTAATTTACTCAGATTTGCCACGGAATATGTTGGGGTTTTTTTCTCACTATTATCAAGTTTTTATTAAAATAAAGAATACTGGTTCCTTTTTGGTTGAAATAAATAATTGCCCTACAGTATTGTCTTCTGCCATACAACAACGTGAATCAGCCGTAACTATCTCCGTATATATACTTTATGGAAAAACCTAGATTTTGTGAAAGCAGAGGTTTTCCCAGGAATTCATGAACATTTTTAAGATATAAGAAAACTCAAATCCAGAAATGGCCGATAGTCTGGAGCCAATACATATACTAAAGTCACACATGTCCTTTCAAAACCTGGTGCAAAGCTACCATAAAGTTTTCTTTCAGCCTTTGGTTGGGAGGACAGGTGTCTTCTACAGTTTCCTTATGGAACGATTTTATTCTGCCCTTCTGAATTAACTCAGGCTCTTGGAGAATATTTCTCAAAGTTCCCAAGGATATCTCCTCCTGTCATTTATTGGTTTCTTGGAAGAAACTTTAATTTTGCAGAATAATTTTTCAGCATATTTATTACCTTTTCTTTTATACATATATGTGTGTGTGTACATGTATATATATATATATATATACATATATATATATACACATATAGATATATACACAAGAACATTTTGTGGAAATAGTCATGTGCTTTCCCATGGTTTCTAACCAATTATACATGACTTTTAAATTGTGGAATAGGAGGGCAGGGAGATCATTCTTTTGGAACCTATTCATAACTTATGCATTAGCTTATAAATTGCTCAATAGCAATAACATTAAAACTATCAGTGCAAAATATAATGTGAACTATGTTCAGAGATGTTTTTGACCACCTATTTGTCTCTTTTAATAAATGAACACTAAGAAGCTTATAAATTACATGTATCCATGCAGTCATTTGCCAAATTGATAGCTCTCAATATTTTTTCAGCTATTTATAAATCCACTTATATGGTTCCATACAATATTCTCATGTCTTTAAGGTAATTATTCTGATGGTCTTCTATGTTGAATATATCTATATATTTATATATAGATATATAAAGGTAAATTTTTTTAAACAGACACTTGTGATTCCTTTCTTGTCCTCTGCATGTGTTTACTAATTAATGATTGCTATCCCTTTTTGGGGGATTTATAAAACGTTGCCCTTTTTCTCACACCCTAGGCCGCTGCCATTGTATTACCTGGTTTGCATAATTTGCCAATGTCCCTACTATAGTGCCTTGAGCAGAACTGATGTTAAATCAAGTTTGTTTACCTCTGTCTCATTTCCTTCTCTAATTTGTTTACTGTGAAAATCTGATGGAGAGTTGAGTGATCTGAAAGATCCATCCTCATCTTTACTGGAGGCCTCTGGTTCCCATGTTTGAAAATTCTGTGTAAATGAATCTCCAGTAAAAAGTAATGACAACGCACCTTCCCGATTATGGTCTTCATCTTGTACCTAATATTAAAAGAAATAGTAGAGTCATCTTTTCTAAAATAGTAGTCAAGTTTTTGAAGTGGTTTCCTGCTAGTTGAGTAGAGTAGTACACAAAGATTTTTTTTTTGTAGCTACTAAAAATGAAAAAACAAAAACACCAGAACAAATGTTTAAAAAATCTAAAGTTTTGCTTGTTTTATGTTTGCCTGAATTTCTAATTTCATTGACTTAACTTCAGTGCATAGAACCACCCTCCCACCTTGGGTAGTCAATCATGCCACATGGAATGGGAGCCCTCAAGCTGGGGATATTGGATACAGTGAGGAAAATACTATAAACTGTAAATCAAAGATGATGTCTAGTTTATGAGAATTTTGCCTGAAGACACAATTTTATTCCCCCAAAGCCTCTTTGCTAAAGCATTTATTACGGATCCTAATTCCTCTTGCAAACTTAGTTAATACTCATGGATATCTTTTGCATATACAGAGCAGGGCATATGCTATCAGGACTGATGTGTCTGCCTGGCAAGTGCAGAGTGGAGCGGAGTTGATTACGGACAGGAAGGAGGGCAGCTGAAGAGTATCTGCCTAAACAGAGAACATCTGTGAGCCAGCTTTGACATCCTGTGCCTTATGACCATCTCCCGAGGACCAGCTGGAAAAGACACACTTTGAGAAGTAGCCCTCTCGATTCTCCAAAAGCAACTTCGTGACCAGTTTTGAAATGAATGGAAAACATGATCTTCCTTCAGATCAGCTTCTTCCAAGCCAGTGTTTATTTCATATTTCTGAAGTTTTCTGGCTTAGTTTCCCTTGAAAGTCAACATTCTTGGTCTCTTCCCCCTGTCCCAGCATGTTTAAACTGAGATGGCGCTCTTTCTTGTTTCCTTAGAGCTCTTGCCAAGTCACTGGGCATAAGTCTTCTGTTCATCTCCTGAGAGTTTTCAATAAAACATGTCTTGAGTCTCCCTGTGTGCCAAAAAAAAAAAGCTTCTTTCCATGACATTAGTACTGAATTATTTTCATTCATAAAGGTATCTTATATTGGTGCCTTACCAATGATTGGAAAGATCAGACTCCATAGTCCTTTAAAAACGTCTTCCATCCTTCTTCATCTCCAGCTCTGCATCAAGACATGATTGACTAATGGGAAAGAGGGGGCCAAAAAGTAAAGTAGGAATATGAGATTAACAGACACACACCACTGTACATAAAATAAATATCAAGGATTCACTGTATAGTTGTGTTTGTTGTTGTTCAGTCACCCAGGCATATCTGACTGTTTGTGACCCCATGGACTGCAGCTCGCCAGGCCTCTCTGTCCCCCACCATCTCCTGAAGCTTGCCCAACTTCATGTCCATTGCATTGGTGACGCCATCCAGCCATCTCATCCTCCAATGCCCTCTTTTCCTTCTGTCCTCAATCTGTTCCAGCATCAGGGACTTTTCCAGTGAGTCAGCTGTTCACATCAGATGACCAAATTACTGCAGTTTCAGCTTCAGCATCTGTCCTTTCAACAAATATTCAGTCTTGATTTCTTTTTAAGATTGACTGGTTTGACCTTCATTACGGTACAGAGAACTATATTCAATATCTTGTGTTAACCTATAATGGAAAATGGAAAAGAATATGAAAAAAATTGTGTATGATTGAATCACTTTGCTGTGTATCTAAAAGTAACCCAATATTGTAAATCAACTATACTTCAATAAAAGTTTTGCCTTTTTTTTAAAGACATGATTGACTAGCCCTTATGGTCACTAGTCAGATTCTCCCACCTTTATATGATTTCCTGTCATATCCTGTTGCAACAAAATTCTGAAAACAGATGTTTATAGATCCTAGTCCTAATTTAGGGTAGCCCTAAATTAGGTGGCTCAGTGGTAAAGAATCTGCCTGCAATGCAGGAGACATTGGTTTGATCCTGGGTCGAGAAGATCCTCTGGAGAAGGAAATGACAACCCACTCTAGCTTTCTTGCCTGGGAAATCTCATGGACAGAGGAGCCTGTGGGTTATGCTCCATAGGGTCTCAAAAGAATTAGACACAGATTAAGAACTAAACCACCACCACAGTCCTAGTTTTGTCCTACTGCCTTTACACAAAATCTTAAATAACCAAATTCTGAACTTACAGAGGTATATGGATAGCTCCTTGAGAGTTTCTTGAAATACAGTTCACCTTGGATAGAAACAAACTGTGTTCTTTTTTTTATGCAATATTTTCCCAACTCTCAGAGAAATGTATTTTTATTGCATTATTTAAATGTACTCATCAAAAAGCGAAACAACACAGATCTAGAGCCCAAAGCTCCAAGTCTCACTCCTACCTACCACCTCTCATCTCATCATACTTAGAGCATGCTTTGTTCATTTAGTATTTGCCAAAGACTACCATTTTATTGTTAATTTGTTATTTATCTCTTTTGGACATCAGTTCAGTTAAGTTCAGTTCCTCAGTCGTGTCCAACTCTTTGCAACCCCATGAACCACAGCATGCCAGGCCTCCCTGTCCATCACCAACTCCTGGAGTTTACCCAAACCCATGTCCATCGACTCGGTGATGTCATCCAACCATCTCATCTCATCCTCATGTCCCCTTCTCCTCCTGCCCTCAGTCTTTCCCAGCATCAGGGTCCTTTCCAATGAGTCAGCTCTTCATATCAGGTGGCCAAAGTATTGGAGTTTCAGCTTCAGCATCAGTCCTTCCAATGAACACCCAGGACTGATCTCCTTCAGGATGGACTGGTTGGATCTCCTTGCAGTCCAAGGGACTCTCAAGAGTCTTCTCCAACACCACAGTTCAAAAGCATCAATTCTTCGGCACTCAGCTTTCTTCATAGTCCAACTCTCACATCCATACATGACCACTGGAAAAACCATAGCCTTGACTAGACAGACCTTTGTTGGCAAAGTAATGTCTCTGCTTTTTAATATGTTGTCTAGGTTGGTCACAACTTTCCTTTCAAGAAGTAAGCATCTTGTAATTTCATGGCTGCAGTCACCATCTGCAGTGATTTTGGAGCCCAGAAAAATAAAGTCAGCCACTGTTTCCACTGTTTCCCCATCTGTTTGCCATGAAGTGATGGGACCAGATGCCATGATCTTAGTTTTCTGAATGTTGAGCTTTAAGCCAACTTTATCACTCTCCTCTTTCACTTTCATCAAGGCTCTTTAGTTCTTCTTCCCTTTGTGCCATAAGGGTGGTGTCATCTGCATATCTGAGCTTATTGATATTTCTCCCGGCAATCTTGATTCCAGCTTGTACTTCCTCCTGCCCAGCATTTCTCATGATGTACTCTGCATATAAGTTAAATAAGCAGGGTGACATCCCCTGTTAAATCCAAGGCTTAGGAAGGTGCTGAGAGTTATCTCTCTTCTATTAGCTCTCTGGGTTCCCAGTGCAAGTTTGGTTGCTCCAGGCCTACTCAGCACTAGAGATTGCCCAGATCCATGTGACTGTGTGGCTGCTACCCAGGATTGACTTGATGTTCTGGCCTACGATGATGGAAGTCCATGAGAAAAAGAATTGTGTTGTAAACAGTCCCTTAGGACCTCTATCCTGGAGGGGACACTACCAAGAGGGGAAACCAGTTCCAGCCTCAGGTAGTCTTCTCCTGTTTTCCTCCAGCCTGGTCTCTTTAAGTTGAGATTTCATGAAGTGCCCAGGACTCTATGATCAGAAGGGCATCTGAAATTTTTAGCACAAGCAACTGAAGAAGGAATGAGATATTTGCTTGGACAATGCTGAGTGCCAGAAAGAGAAACTCTCAATTGTAGACTGAAGGATGCCTGGAGTTTGAGGAGTTGGGTTAGTTCTTCATTGTACCAGCATGTCTTCCTTTCCTCTTCTGGAAGGGATGTCTTGATTCTCAGAGTTTTGCCTTTTCACTGCTCCATCCTGCATTTTCCCTCCTTTCGGTGGTGCTACTTTCAGGTTCCCTGTGTCCATATGCTTTCTCTCTCCCTCTCAAATTTTTCTTTTCTCCTTCCAGTTTTAAAGTCTTTCATAAGTATTAGATATCAATTCATACTAAAAGATCGATGCTTGAGAATAGCTGTGTGGAGAGAGCAAATTGCATACATGATATTTCAGAACATGAAAAAAAAAAGTTTGAAAAGAGTAAAGCAAGCCTATGTGAATTCCAGGAATGAATTTAGGGGAATATAGTTAGGGTTGGGAGAGTGAGCTAACAAAGACCCCTAACCTTGTGCAAGGTAGGCATTACCCTGCATGTGCAGTCCCTGCATGAGAAAGTTGTTACCTTGGTACTTTCTCCTAAAGGTACCCATCCCCCAACACACACCCCATGTACACCTTGAAGGGGATGACAAATGTGGAAAGATATATGATTCACTGTCTGGGAATCAGAGGCTTTCTAATGGGATGGTGCAATCCAAAGAGCCATTTTATCTTCTGGTAATCCCACATTCCAAGTCAGACTGGTGGTGTCATCCTCCACATTCCCTTATTTTAATATGGAATTCAGATTTGGTGATTAAGAAACCACACGGAGATCTTTCCTACAACAAATGCTCATTCATCCATTGTATCAAGAAATTGAATGCCTTTTTACTAGCTAGGCACTCTGACAATTCAAAGAGAAGTGTTTACCAGCCATGGCATCTTACTGCATGTTTATTCACATATTCAATAAATACCTATAGAACAGGAATTTTATGCCAAACACTGTTCTAACCACTGTGAATACAGTGGTCAAGATGGCAAAGTCCCTGTGTGCATGTATCAGGACTTTTTTTTTTACAAAGAATTTTCAAACAGTATTTGATCACAAAGAATTTTCCAGAAAATTCTTAACAAAGTACCCTTATTTTCACTCTAATATACTTTTCTGTGGGGAAGAGGTTTAACTATATCCCCATGTTATTCCATGAGAGTTTGCCACATATAGTATTAGAGAGTATTAGAATTACCACTTTTGGGCACAAAACATTTTTGGTAGCTTTTTAAAATGAAACTGAACAGGTTTTAGAAGTAACAGCCTTTGAACTCATTCAATATATTATACAAATTTCAGAAAACAGTCTTTTGGAATGATGGCAACCCCATCAACACAAGACTTAAAACAATGATTCTCAGTACTTGTCTGGATTTTTAACAGGCCAACAACATTGTCTTCTATTTGATTATCAGATGCAGGTTAAAGCTCTGAGTGTATTGGCTACCATGCAATGACCTAGACATGGACAACTTTAGAGAAAGCCTTATCATTAGTATCACTCTTACACTCCATCCTCAAGGACTTTACACTGCTCTAGGAAGGCTGAATGAATGATGATCCAGAACCTGAACTGAGATCTGTTTAAATTCCACATAACTAAGTTTTGTTTGACCTTGGGAAGAAGGGGGAATATGATGGTTGTGTTACTGAAGTTACTTTCATTTCCTAATCTTTGCTACTTTCCCCCCCACACACTTCAGGTACATTTCTTCCATCCTCCATCTGTAACTTGATTCCTCTTTAATAAAGGTTGATCATCAAATGCCTGAAATTTGGTAGTCATCCTAGCAGATACAGACATCTGTAATTACAGAATTTGAAAAAAAAAAAAACTAATAATCTTGTCAGCCTTTGTAAGAACTTATTTTCCTAAGTGTCAAGACCTTCCTTTCTAAAACTGAATCAACCTGATAAAGGGCCTGCCAGGTGCTAAATGATGGGGCCAAAATTTTCAAACAGTATTTGATCACAAAGAATTTTCCAGAAAATTCTTAACAAAGTACCCTTATTTTCACTCTAATATACTTTTCTGTGGGGAAGATGTTTAACTATATCCCCATATTATTCCATGAGAGTTTGCCACATATAGTATTAGAGAGTATTAGAATTACCACTTTGGGGCACAAAACATTTTTGATAGCTTTTTAAAATGAAACTGAACAGATTTTAGAAGTAACAGCCTTTGAACTCATTCAATGTATTATACAAATTTCAGAAAAGAGTCTT